CGGTGATGCCAATCTTGCAGAAGAAGACTACAGTGATGGAGATCTTTTTAGTGAGTTTTGACTGTGACTCCATACTTGACAATGACTGGATACTTGATACGGCTTGCACTTTTCATATATGTTTTAACAAGAATTTGTTTTTTTCATATGAAACAGTTATAAAGGATTCCATGGTGATGTAAAATAATAAGCTTTGTAAATTAGCTGGTATTTGTAAGGTCAGAATCAAGATATTTGATGGGACTATCAAGACACTTGGTTTAGTAAGACATGTTCCAGGTTTAAACATAAATATTATCTCCTTGAGTGCTCTTCAAAAAGTACAGGTGTATCGATGAAGGTGGATTTCTGAAAGTTGGCAAAGGTGCCATGGTTATGTTAAAGGGGCAGAGAAAGTCTTGGTTATATGTTTTGAAAGGTTTGACGGTTACTGTGGAAACAACTGTAGCTTTTAATTTGATAAACGGTAACTCGGTTAGAGTTGGTTGTGACCGTGTTGCTCATGGTAAATCAAGCAATGATATTGGAGAAACTGTCAGTAGCTCAGGTGAAATTAGTTGTGATCTTGTCGATCATGTTGCTTGTGGAAATAATTTAAGCACGTTCTTTAACTCAGTTGGAGTTGGTAGTAAACATGATGATTCAAGCAAGTTTGGAGCCCAAATTAGTTCTGTTGGTAAATAGGGCTTAAATTTTGTTCACAGATGCTAAGTATGCCAGGAAGGGGCATGGTGTGCCATGAAGGGGCACGATGGAAGAGGTGATGAATGACTTAAAAGGGTGTGGACTGAACTACTTGCTATGAAATTTGTGTCAAAGTGGAGCTTGTTATGTCGTGACTAAATTTCATGTAATTTGGAAGTTTTAAACCTGGGATGACTATTTAGATTTAGATTGAGGGTATTAACTTTTGTAAAACAATTTAGTTTTTTGATATATTGAAATCCTCATCCTCTTTCACATAAATCTTGTGTTCATATATGATTCATTATTTTTCATATTACTTTTATTTTCTCGTCTTTATTATTTGACCAAAATTTTAACAATGTTCATGCGGTCATAATTATAACATAGAAATATTGAGATTTGATTCTCAATAAACATAAACCAGCTTTGATTCTCACAACTCTCGTCTTTTTTGTTTTTTTTTCTCCAATTTATAATAACATGATTGTTCTTCTTATTTATAAGATTGTAAGAAATCTCACCATGTTTTTTTTTCAATATTTGTGAAATGCATATTCAGAAATTTTTTTAAATATGTCAAATATGAAGTCCTTTCAAGCACTGAGTTTCTCGAAGTTTTATAGATAGTGTTTTGCTCCTTGTACATAAAGAAAATCACAAAAACTCACCAGAATACACACAAACAGTGGGCCCCATCGTGTATTTTTTTTTAAAAAAAATTGCGCGGGACCCACATGTGAGTCTATTCTATGAATTTTCTGTTGATTTTATTATTGTACAAGCAGCATCTCTCAGATAGATATGTTGGAACTTAAAAATCAATTTATTTTTAACAATATTTTAATTTTATTTTGGAAGACTGACCATGATCTATAAATTTTTTATTTAAATCTACTAAACTTTTGATTTAACTATGACTTCTTAAAAAGAATAATTTTTTGAATTTTAATATTCTTGAAAACTATTTTTTTATTATTTTTGAGAAATCAAAACTTTTCAGATTAATATTTATGAAAAAATTATAGTATTTCTCTCGAAAAAGCATAATTTTTATATGACAATATCTTTTGAAAAAATATGGTGTTATTACTCTTGAAAGAATATAAATTTAAAATCGATATTTGAGAAGAATTTTATTCTATTGCTCCTAAAAAGATAGGAATTTTCATCAATAAGCTATGGAAGAATTGTGACTTTATAAACTTTGATAATCCTGACATATATATTTTTTAGTGCTCATGAAGAAGCAAATTTATATCATAAACAACATTGTGACATAGCCTCTACTTGGTATAGATAAAAAAAAATAGCTTTTGATAAAATAAAAATAAAATTTGATGAAATATGTGGTTAAAAAATTATAGATTCCGTCAAATGTGGAGTTAAAATTAATTGTTGACTTTAATTCAAATTTTAAATAATTTTTTAAATTGAACCGAACAACAGAGGTATAATATTATTTCTTGAAGCACAATTTTATATACATCAGTATTTTGAAAAACTGGTATGTTATTGCTCTCCCAAAAGCATAAATTTATACATTATTAATATTTTTTGAAGAATATTGTGTAGCGTTCTTGAAAAAGCATAACTATATAAAAATATACGCTCTATAAGAATATTGTGCTGGTCCACGAGAACAACACTACAAATCAATATTTCTTTTTTTTAAAAAAAGTGTTAATGTTACTGAACAAGCACAGAAAACATTGCATTTATTTTCTCATACATACTCCTGAAGAAGTAACTATCTACAAATAAAAAAAGAATACGATTGTGTCCCTAATAATGCCGATATAGTGCGTCTTTTACCACTTTTCACGTATGAACTGAGATCTTCCTTTTCTTTTCTATATATTTTATTATTGCTTTGAAAATTGTCGTGAGGACATGTGAAGAATTGTTTAAAAAAGGATAATTTATTTTTATCTCTCAATATATGAGAATTGCGTGACTTTATTTGTTCGTGAACAAGTTTAAAATCGACTATAATGATTGTATTATGGGATTCGATAGGTTAAATTTATTGATTGTTTCTCGTAATTAGTAAATTAGATTAGTAAATTTGATTGCAAGATGCATTTACTAATCTAAAATAGATTAACCAAATCTCAGTTGTAAATAGTCCGAATCAAATTGACGATCCCAAATAAAAAATTATTAACATTATATTTGATAATTTTTAGCACGCTTGAAGCGTGATATCATTCCATCCAAGATAAAAAATCCCAAAATAAAAATGAGCAAATAGTAAATATGGTCTCATTGAGGAGGAATATACTCGTATAGATATAACAATTTGTAAAATCCCAGAAGATGTTTAGGTACCAAAAGAATTTAGTATGTAGAAGCATATAATTCAAGTTTTCAAGAAAATCTTTCCATCGAAGTATAGAGTTAGTTTGCAATATGGAATTATGTAATATGATTGTTTTAGTGAATATCTATTGAACATAGGTACAAGAATGATTTACATGCCAATGTGTTTATCAATATCTGGATTATTATTTTTGATGTTTTAAATATTATTGGAACTCTTGAAGAACTTTCAAAGGCAAATGATTTCATTAAAATCTTTGTCTATTAGTCAACTTAAAAAATAAAAATAAAAAATTGCTAAGAGATTTCATTGAAAAGAAGATACATCCTTTTAAAGCCCTATGGTTATTTGTTCAATTGAAGTGAAAAGATGACAATTTTTATTTTCGATGTACTAATGAATAATTTATTATTCAATGAGTTTTTTATTCCTTCCTTGACCAAGATTTTATTCCATCAAGTTTTCTGTAAGTCAGCTAACATAGCATATTTAAAAAAATAATTTACTATTTTTCCTTCATTATAACTTTTCACGGAATTTTCACTAGACTTTTTCTTTTTCTTTTTCTTTTTTTTTTTCTTTTTTTGTATAATGAATGTCCATAATTTATAAGATATTTACCATCAACATTACTTTATGATTTTGCTCTCGTATGTTACAAATTGTATGAGATACTATTGAAGAGAGTAATAACAATATCTAACTTTCATCGGATCATAATGTTGATTAAAGTCAAATAATGATAGATAAATATTTGGTATGAAGATGGTAACACCTTAATTTTTTATACAAATTTTTAAAAAGGTCGTGGCAGTTGAGGACAATTGCACACAAGATCTGAATAGCTCCCATATGAGAGGATTTTTATATATTGGAAATCAAAGAAAGTAATTGTACTCTTTTCTCATTCGCTCAAATTTTGTCTCGTTGAATTTTCTGACAATGTTTTAACGAGGCAACACTTGATTAATCCAAATTCGCAGTACTCTTTTTCCCTTCGTTCGGTGTTTTTCCTTTCAAATTTTACCAAACAATATTTTATCAAGAAAGTAGTTGTATAAATAATATTCAAGGGGATGTTGTAAAATTATTACTATTTGTAAATGATCATTGTGCCCTTGCACTCTTAATTGTAACATATAGATATTAAGCCTTAGTTCTCGATAAAATATTTTAGATTCTTTTTCTCTCTACTTTATAACAATTTTCTTTCCATCCATCAGCTTAGAACTACATTTCAAGAAAACTAGAAAATTAAAAATATGTGTTTATTTTGTGCAGACCGAACTTCTGCCGAAAATTATGTGAACTACTAATGGGCTGAATACTGAACAAGATTACGAGTTCATTTGACACAAATAGTAGTAAATGTAGCCACAAATTCTTTGTAGCAGTTTTCACTTCCTATTCAAAAAAGGGAAAGGGGGCATCCCTATCCACTCGAAATTGCATACTCCTCGACTCTGTCCTTCCCATTCGAAAAAGAATTATGCTACGAGTATAGACAAATTTGACAAAAAATGTTCACAGATAACATTTGGCATGCATTCATTGGAAGATGAAAATCACATTTTGTCATGTCATCGTCCGTAGAGAATCCATCAAAATTTTTCTGTATTTGAGACTTTTCCTTCGAAAGTAGTGGCTAAAATAGTATGAACCCTCCATCACTGTAGAGAGAAAGATTGTTACTGTGCACGTAATAACTTTTGACAGAAAATTTCCGAAAATAAATAAATTTATCCTATTTTTATCAATTTAAATTCTACATAAAGTTGTTCAAAATTAGTTGATCTTAATTAAGCTATATAAACAAAGTATTAACCTGCAGTATATAAACACAAAAGGGGAAAGTAATTAAAAGGGACAAAATTAGCGAGTAATTATTAATTAACACCAGGCTGTTCAGTTAAGACAACCTTTGTATAGGGATATCACTGGCCGGCGATGATCAGCTTACACCTTTAACTCAAACGCAACGCCGTTTTGTATTTCATACGGGTGTATCGATCTCGTGCAACGGAGAACCCGACGGAGTGAAATACATAGGCGAAGCACAGGGTGTTGAAAACGGCGTCTCTTCACATCCACCGTGATCATCAATCTCTACCTTAACCTCCGGCGACTCTTCAGCCGCCGTAAAACACTCCTGCAAGCTCACCTTTTCTTCGTTATCATCATTCTCAGCGACTGCTTCCAATTCTTCTCTCTCCTCTTCTTTGATGGTGAACAAGAATCTTGGCGGCCCATGCATTTCTTGAAGCTTCAAGATGTCGATATCGATTTCTCCCATACCCGATTCCCCGTTCAAATTGAGATTGTTATGATCATTAGTCGGAGTTATGGAGTTGGGTTCCACACGAGAGTGGGAGTGAGATCTTGTGCAGAAGAAATAAAGCAACTCCTTGGAGCAGGCTATGGACAGAAATGAAGAATCGGAAGAGGAATGACGGGATAGCTGATCTCCAGCGCCTTCCACGGCAGTGCTGGCTTGTGGGTTTCGTCTGCGGAAGACACGGCGGCGCCACAGAACGTACAAGAGTTCAGCTGAAAGTGTCACGAGTGAGATTAAGAAGATTATAGTTAGTACTCTGCTTAGCTTGCTTAGTCCGCCGTTCATTATGCTCCGATCTCTATATAAATTAATTACTGTAAAGGATCAATTACAGCACCAAGAACAAGAAGGAATAGTATTACTACAACTCAGAATTTGGCAGTAATGAAATAACAGAAAATGGAAGACTTGGTGACATGTTTCGATGAGGGACAAATTTCTTGGAAATGGAGTAGAGAATGACCAGAAGGAAACTGAGTGTGATGTACGTGGAGTTTTTTGGGGGGAAATTTCTCCACAGATAAGTGTCTTTGTTGGCCACATTTTAATTCCTTTCAATTTATCCAACTTGTTAACTACGTTTATCTAAAACCGTGTTCTAAACCGTGTTGATAGGCGCACCTTAGGCGAAAAAAAGCGCATTTGGGAAGTAGCGTTTTCTTATTTTTATGTTCAAATTTCAATTGAACAAAAAAACCCCAACTAGTTAAAACTTTAGAAAAAATAAGCCTATAAAAAACTCCACATAGCCGGCCCTGCTCACTAACAGTTCCAACTTCCAAGCTCCATCTCAATTATGTCTCAAATCAGAACTATATAATAATTAAAATAATATTAAGGAGCTGTATGAGAGGGATTTTGTGAAGATTTTATTTCAATTTTTGTCCGTTGGGAAGATAGATGGGTCCCAAAAATGTAGTAATTGTTGGCTCAACTTTTATCCAATTACCAGAAAAGCACATTTCTAAGGAATAATGAATTAAATGTTAAAGGGATACATTGGTAATTTTAGTTAATTCAATCAATATTTGCGACTCCCTACACAGACTAAACACTGGATAACTGTCTCAAATTCGCTTAAAATTGGATACAACATTGCTCCCAAACAGGAGCTAAAACTAAAACACCTCTTTATTATGCCTATGTCATGCTTGTAAGGTTTAAGGTTTAAAACCTTATCTATAACCATTACCAAATTTGGACCATTACAAAATTGTTGAAATTCTAAGCCTAGACGACATGATCTGTAATCAAACATATTTTGACAGCATTTTTTTTTTATTTTACTTTTTTGTGCTAAGAAATAAGTTCTTATGTGTTTTTTTTATTTTTAAAGAGTGAGTTTTCTAGGAGAAAAATGAAATCTATATAATTATTGGACTTACTATGTTAGTCCATAAATTAAAAATATATATACATACATAAAACATAAATTTAGTCATCAAATTGAAACAAACATGCAAGTCGAATGACGTAAGATGAAATTTTCAAATTTCTTTTAATGTTTTTTGTTTCATAATTTTTAGCATGTTTCGTACATAATAAATAACAAGGTTTTAATATCTGTCAAACATCGTCCCATCGATATGTACCAAGCATGTAGATGTAGTTGAAAGTGGATAAGAATTAATGACTGTCTTTAAATTATAAAACTTGAGGCTTTTTCTGCCCAAGGAAAAGATATAAAAGGACACTTTAGTCGTTGTTTATTGGCAAGTTGCATGTGAAATTTGGTTTTTGTTGGTAGTCCATTTTTATAGTAGCTGTCCAATTTATAAGGAAAATGACATTCTCACATTTAATCCATGTGAAAAGTGGCTAGTAGTATGTAAATGAATTCATATTCAAGCTTAAGATTGACTCCTATGAACAGGGTATAAGATTTTGCTCAAATAAAGTGGACGGGGTATTGAATTGTTCTTAGCTTGTCGCGCTTGCTTCCCTCTCTATTGTATATGTGTACACAAAGTTCTACTCGATGGAATGTTACTCGTGAAGTTCATCCATTCGTAATTGTAGACAGAAAACTGGAACATAAATAAAACCAGTTATAAGGAGAAACATATTAATTCTTAACAGTCGATTTGGTACAAGAAAAAGAAAGGCTACTGATACACAGTAGGGGATCGTCCTCTCAATCTCCAAGAAACATCCGTTTTTTGGCTGTGTTCATGTATGGCCTGATGACACATTCATTTTGAGCTTCATCTTGATCCATTGTTCCTAGTTTGAGCTGTAAACCANTAGGGGAACGTCCTGTCAATCTCCAAGAAACATCCGTTTTTTGGCTGTGTTCATGTATGGCCTGATGACCCATTCATTTTGAGCTTCATCTTGATCCACTGTTCCTAGTTTGAGCTGTAAACCAAAAACAGAAACTGATTAGGTTCTGCTCTTTAGAGGAGTAAGTCTTCAATAGATGGCAGAGGAATAAGCCTCGAGACACGCAAACAAAAAGAAGCGATAAAGAAATGAGAACCTTCTACATTCAAGCACCAATCCCTTGTGCGTTTGGTGAAGTGGAAAAAGAATAATAGAACCATGCCAGCTAACCCAGTATTGATCATAGGACGAATGATATGTTTTTTGAAAATGTCATAATATTGAGGCGGCTGTATGTGTAAGGGACAAGCAAGAACTAAAGGTCTCATTGGTATTTCAAACGAATATTGGTCAGGACTTCAACCAAATGACTATACTTCCTGAGGAAGTGATATGCATTATATTATACCTAAACAAACCTCACCCCATAGAAAAAGGGAAAAACTACTAACCGTTTCATATTTCATATGTAGATGTTAATTCTTGATTATCACAATCAAGAAACGGTGGGGTGGGGGGGTGGTTCAGAAGGAAAACATTTAAGCATCTTTCAATACTGTCGAGAAAAAATGGTGATATGATAACGACAACAATTATAAAGGCGATTGACTGGAAGAGCTAAACGATGAGACAAGAATTTTACATGGTTCGATAATTTTTCCACCTACAATGAGACATCGCAAAATCGGAAATCTTATATCAGATATAACAAGCATTCCTCTCCATCTCGTAGGAACACACACCTCAATTACACCCAATATACTCTCCACCAAAGCGAACACTTTATGGTAGAATCACTCTTTTCTATCAAGAGTTTCCTTATACACAAAGGAGACTATGTTCTAACTCTTGTTTCACCAATAATGAGGAGTAAAAACCTTGATTCATAATGTGCTAGAAATGGTTAATCCTTGGACAAGTAGAATAATTAAAATTAATATGACAGTATGCCAAATCCTTAGGAAATTAAGATAATTAAAAAGGCATGGCTTTGCCACACAAAAAAAAAAATGAAAAAGAAAAAACCCATCCTGAAGTGGCTCAGTTTCAGAATTATTGGAAGAGTGATTGACATATGAGTTGAATATCCTTCGTGTAGAACTTCGACAATTGAATGTCTTCTAAATAAATCCACTCTCGTTCTTAATTGCGCAAGGGTTAGGCATGCTCATCATTGCCTAAGTCTTAGGCAAACCCATCATACTCATACCTCTAAATATAGGCGCTTGATCTTCATCGTTTGTACAACAATAGCTAGAATAGAGAGCCTCCCTTGAGTATAGTAAGCTCTAAATAGAAAAGTTCTTCTCTAAAATTATTTGAGAGTGTGCTTACCAGGGAGAACTTGGGTATAATTGGAACTTGTGTAATTTAGAAGATTGAGAGGAATTTTCAATTGTAATATAGTCAACTTGATGGTGGGATTATCTGATCTCCTTTCATGAACATAGGCAAAATGTCAAACCACATAAAATTCTTGTCTCTTTCTCGTTCCTATGTTGACTATATCCCTCATTTTTCTTCACAAGTGTTGTCCTTGTCTTCATAATGGCTACTTTTCACAGCACTTGGTGTTAGAGCCGAATGGTTGGTGTTAATAGAGTTTATTACACAAAATGATGAGAACAAGGTATGGTGGAGCTTTTTGATGATGAAAAAATATTGATATATGCCAGGGTACTATTAATGAGGTATTAGGATAACAAAAGGCCTCTAAAGCTCTATTAGGAAAGAGGCTCGATGGCATGGCACAAGCCAAAAGGAAACAATTAAAAACGAAATTGTCCCAATTAGTTGAGTTTAGCTTCAAAAATTGTAGTACTTAATAAAAACTACTCGCTAGAAATTATTGGAGAAGTGTTCAAATCCTTTATGAAATATATGTGAAAAAGGTTATACGAGAAGAAAATTGATGAAACTTAAGATGCTCAAAGAGACATCAACAAATTCAAGGCATCACTCAACTACAAATAGTGGAAGTCAAGACTGATGAAGAATATCAGGCCATCATTATGTTGGCATCCTAGCCAAAATAATGGAAGACTCTAGCTACAATACTCATCAAGAGTTCATTGACAACACTTCGTTATTCGACTGCATTACTAGGAGTAGAAAATATCAAACAACCATACACCATTGGACTCTCTGCTTGAAAGTATGTATGGTGAAATCAGATTCAAAGTTACAATCTATAATCATGTCGTAGCAGAAGCAAATTTTGTGGAAGGTTTGATAAAAATAATAATTGTTCCAACCCACGTTCCAAAAATAATGTGAGAGTACTACGAACAACACTAAAAAAAATCAATCAGTTACAGAGGAATTATGCCTTTGAGGCGAGGCATAAGCATCAAGATATAGTAATAAATAGTTCAAAAGAATATAAAAGTACAAAAATATGCTTATAATAAAACATAAACCATCTTAAGAAATCCATAATAAAACAAGTTAACCAAAATTAAAAGTTTAGCTCGCAAACAAACATAAAATATATCAATAAAAGAAGAAAAAAACCCGAAAGGTTAAGATCAATACTAATTGTTCGGATAATGCAAGACAAACGTGCAAACGACTTAGTCATCTTGAGGCTTATGCCTAAACCTTTAGGTATAAGCCTCCCCAAGTCAAGGCATAAGCCTCACAAATGGCACTTAAGGAGTGTGATTCAAGGCATTTTACGAAAGCCTCATGCGAGGTGGAATTAGAGGAATAAGCCTCAAATAGTTTTTTCAAACAGTGACTATTCTAATAATACCAAGAGAAGAGACCCATCAGAAAATTTTGCAGCAAATTGATGAGTGTACTGGAAGCAAAGTAAAAATCAGATGCCAGAAAAAATAAATCTTGTCAACAATGAAGATGAAAGGGGCCAGGAAAAGATTTTAATAAGACTACAAGCAGTAGATCTCTATTCGATTCTGGGACACTAGACTCTCAATGCTCCATACATGTCCTAGCAAAGA